ACACACACACACACACACACACACACACACACACACACACACACACACACACACACACACACACACACACACACACACAACTCTGCGTTCAGCTTCCGAGGATCCTGCGGTCGATCCCTGATGAGGTGGTGGAGATGATGCCGAAACGCGTTGTGTTGTGTTTGAGAAGTTCTTCAAGTCCCTCTCCACCCAAGTGCACACAGGTGAGGGAGCGAGTCATTGGCACAGGGAGTTGTGGAGTGAGTGTGGTGAGTATAATGTGGTGTGTGCGTTGCTCGCTTGTTCTCGTGTCAATTCAACCACTCTCACCATCTGCCACTCGTGTGTCTTGTCTGTGTTGTTTGCTACTGTCAGCGCTGGAGTCTGCCAGGATCAACCTGTTCAGCGGCGACAACGCGTGGCAGGTGTGTGTGTGTGTGTATGTGTGTGTGTGTGTGTGTATGTGTGTGTGTGTGTGTGCGTGTGTGTCGACGTGCGTGTTCTCTTCTCCACCCATCCACACGCCGTCATCACCACCTCCTCATTTTCTCATGTGTGTTTGCTGACATCCTTCCCTTCCCATCCTCAACACCGGCACCAATACCACCCTCCACGCTTGCTTCTCCTTCCTTCTGCTGTCGCCACACATAGGGCCCTTGAGCCAGCAGATGTCACCCCTCCTGCACCAACCACCACTGCTCTGATGGGATGAACAGACGAGCGCTGCCATGCGATGACCATCCAGCCACGCTTGTGCGGCTGTGGAAGCAGCAACACCAACACACACAAACAAGCAAGCGATGAGCAACGTGAGTGCATCTCTGCACATGCATGCGTGTGTGATGAGCACAGCACCAGTGCGCGTGTCTGTGATCGCTGTCTTTGTTGCTCCTGTCTCTCCCCCTTGTTATCCCACATCAACGTGTACATGTGTGTGTGGTGGCTGCCTGTTTTGCCTTGCTTGATGCGCTGTCTCATTCGTCGTTCTCACACACAACTGCCTGCACACCTGCACATTCTCCAACTTGCAGTCACTGCTCGTCTTTCCCGCTCTTTCTCGCCCTCCCTGACGGCCATCACAACAACAACAACAGCAGCAGCAGCCAACATACCCTCCACCGCCGATGCAGCAGCAGCAGAGAATGCACCACCACCACCACTTGCTGCTGAACACATTCCCCGACCAACCAACCCATCGCCCACTGCTGCTGGCGGAAGCTGGCTGTTTGCAGCTGGTAACAGGTGGCGACAGCACAAGTTGCATTTTCGGCTGGAAGCAGAAGTAGCAGAGGTGAGGGCGAGAAGAAGAGGGGAAAGGGAGAGGAGATGTGTGTTGGCTGGATGGATGGATGGATGGATGAGGTGGGGGTGGGGGATGCTGGGTGAGTGTGGTGTGGTGTGGTGTGGCTGGTGACAGAGGACGATGGTGTGTGGTGGTGTGAGGAAGAGGGATGGATGGATGGATGGGGATGCAGCATGTCTTGTTCCTTCCCTTCTGTTTTCTGTTTTCTCTCTCTTCCCTTTCTCCTCCTTCACACACATGCATGCACAACACCAGCAGTGACAGCAGCAGTGTGACTGCGCACATATCCATGCTTCCTCTTTCCCTCCCACTCACTCGCCATGCTGGTGCTCGCACACAACCACACTTACAGGCGATGCACACGCACAGACAGCAGGATGAGGGAAATGTTGAGGATACTTGCCACGCGTGCCAGCTGCACTCGTCTCACACATGGTATGTGGGTGGTGATGGGTGGTTGGTTGGGTGTGTGATGGAGTGTGGTGATGGGGTGCGGTGAAGCGAACAAGGGGAAGAAGGGTTGATGGGGGATGATGATCATACACGCACACACACACACGTGGTGCGTGTGATGTCAATCACTCGTTCTGCTGTGCTGACATGATGGCTTGCTCTGTGCCTGTTGTGTTCTGTTCCCATCCACATTCCCTGTAACCACGCACGCACACACATATGCACAGGTGGTGAGGTACCAGCACACATCAGGATGTTGATGGAAGCGGGCTCGCATGCCGGCTGCTGCTGCTGCAACTCCCCTGATTCAGCTGCCGTCGCTGTGTTCATGCAGTGTTCCTACATGCGAGCAAGGTGAGCCCATCATGCATGCTTTGGTTGGCGTATGGTGCATGTGTTGGTGCTGCTGCTGTGGGTGTTTGGTGTTGCTGCTGCTGTATCTCGTGCACCAGTGTAGCTGTGCAGCTCACATGCCATGTGTGCGTGTGTGCATGTATGCAGGGGGCGACTGCCTGAGGATCGTTGGAGGATGGTTGGCGGTGCACACACATGATGGATTGGGAGGAGCAGCTGTGGACACACACGTCCATGGTCATGGTGGGCACATCCAGTCACAGCGACGCAGTCATGCGCAGGTGTATGTGTGTGTGTGTGTGTGTGTGTCGTGGGGCGAGGAGGAAAGCAGAGGAGGGGGCAGGAAGGTGAACATGCCTGCTGTGCTCACATGCCATACCTTCGCCTTGTGTGTGATGTTGTCGTTGTGTCTTGTCGTTGTGTGTTGGTTGCATGGGCACCAGGGCCACATCAGAGGAGGGGAAGGAAGCCGCCATGAACGACACATCCTCATCATCATCAACCCTTCCCCATTTCTCTCTCCTTTTCCTCTCTTCCACCTCAGCTCGGCCGTCACCGTCATCGTCATCATCATCGACTGCACAGCCGACATCACACTCCGGCCGACGCCAGCCCTGATCTGGCGTGAGGCAGACAATGCACATGTCACTCGCTCTGACGAAGAGGTGAGCAATGTGCGTGTGTGTGCATGGTGGTGAGTGAGGATAACATGTGTGCGTGTGGTTGTGTGTCGATGCGGATGGTTTGGTGAGGCTGGCGTGTAGCTGATGATGCTTCGCTGTCAACCTCACCCCCCCCTGCATTCTCCTCTTCTTGTGTCTGTGCACACACACACACACACCACAGCGTTGAGGAGGCACATGAAGCTGTGGAACCAACGACGATGACGATGACGAGTGATGGAGGTGAGAGGGCAACTGAGATGTGTGTGTGTGTGTTGGACACGTTGTGTTTCCTTCTTCGCTTCCCTCTTTCCTTGTCTGTTCTGTCCACTCATGTGTCTTTTCTTCTTCTCCCTTTCCCTTTTTCCGATTGATTTGGACACAGGGCCATGCATCCCGTCTCCATCCAACCGACCAAGCAAGCAGCCGAGCGAGCGAGCAAATGGACACGGCGTGGCAAGGGGCTGTTTGTTTTCACCGTTTCCACCATCAACAACACCAGCAGCAACAGCTGATGGCTGGCTGCATTTGGATGAACGGGCCCTCTGCCTCTGGGCCATCTCCACCTGCTCGTCGTCGTCGTCATTGATCACCAGCAGCAGCGGCTGCTGCCATGGATGTGGAGGTGAGATGAATGGCGGTGGTGGTTGTGGTGATGTGGGTGGTGTGTGATGTGTTGGGTGTGTACATCAGCATGTATATGTGTGTGATTGTGAGGTGTAGGTTGGATGTCATTGGGTCTGTTGGTGGTGGCAATGGGTTTTGTTGTCGTTGACAGCCTGATTCTGTGACAACTCACCTCTTTCTCCACACGCACACGTACAGAGGGTGTAATGTGCGTCGATGTGCCGTTGCCTCGCATGACGATGATGATGATGATGGTGGTGAGTGATTTGTGGTGGATGTGGACTTGCGTACGCACACGCATGTGCAGGTGTGATGCTTGTGGTGGTGGTGGTGGTGGTGGTGTGTATCTGTGTTTGGAATGTGCGTGCACAGGTGGTGATGTGGGTGATGTGAATGTGACAAAGGAGGTGGATGTGGTTTGTTTCTGCCATGCTGGCTCACTGCGTGGTGTCATTCTTGCTGATTTGGTTCTTTGTGCTTGCGCATGTGCACATGCATGTGATTTGCACAGGACGGTGGCCGTTCTGTTCCCAAGCCCTCATGACACGAGCAGGGCGATACACGCACACACAAATGTGTGAGAAAAGAAGGCACGAGGTGAGACGCTGGGGCTGTGTGTGTGTGTGTGTGTGTGTGTGTGTGTGTGTGTGTGTGCGTGTGTGTGTGTGTGCGTGTGTGTGTGTGTGGTGATGGGGTGGTAGTACTCATTCACACGCACGTACACGCATGTACACACGCATGCCAACACATCAAAACAGTCATTGGCTGTGGGGTGGTTGCACTGACGTGTGTCTCACATGAATCAATCACACAACCCAATGTGCATGTGTGCGTGGCTGCAGGCGGGCGTGTGCGGGTTTCCCCAACCGAATCCCCTTCTTTTCCCAACTAATCGTCTTTGCTCTGTGTCATCATCATCATCAGCCTTCCCCATGTGATGTGGAGCTGTTGAGGCTTGATCGAGACAGCGGCCAACACAGGTATTGCAGCAGTGGTGGATATAGTGGTGGTGGTGATATCGTGTCCCTGCTTGCTTGCTTGCTTGTTGGATGCTTGCTTGGTGGGTGCTTGCTTCGTTGTTCTTGTGTGTAGGTGATGCACCCCGCCCACATCATGCTGCATATTCCCATGCGTGGTCCCTTGTCCCCTCCTTTCCTGTCCTTACCATCACCGGTCATTGTTGTTCGTCTCTGGTTGGTTTCTCCTTGCCTCACAGACACGCAGGGCAAGCTGGCTCGCTGCTGCTACTGGTGCTGCTGTGATGATGGCCGTGCGTGTGCCTGTGTGCTGTGCACCGTGTTTGGGGCTGCGCCGATGAAGACAAAGAAGGACACGGCCCTTGCCCACCACTCTTCCCCTTTCATCTCCTCTTTCTGCTCCATCAGCGATGACGATGGTGGCCGTGGCATGTGATTGCGGTTCCCTTTTGTTCTGGCTTCGCTGTGGCACGTTGGCTGGCTGGCTGGCTGCACCAAGCACAGGTGAGGATGATCGTTGATGGTTGCTTGGTTGGTGGTGGGCTGGGTTGTGTGGAGTGGTGGGAAGCAGGGGGAGGAGGAAGTAACACGGTGATGGTGGTGATGAGGCGACGTGGGAGTGCTGAGCGAAAGGAGGGAGAGGGAAGGGAAGTGAGGGCGATGATGTTGGTTGGGGGATGGGGAGTGCGTATGCACATGCACGTGAATCGTGTGATGGTGGTGTCACATGTGGCTCATGCCTTTTGCTTGTACCTGTGATTGTGTGATTGTGATGATGACTGCAGCAGGCAACACACGGCGGTTGATGCTGGATTGGATTGGCTGGGGTTGACTGGCCGTCGTGTCGTGTCGCCCATTCCTCTCTCCCTCCGTTGCTCATCTCAACTGGGAACACACACGGCCATGTGTGCGTGTGTACATGTGTGTGCATCGTTGTCAACCACGCCGACAGCAACACGATGCACGAGGTGAGGGCACGCAATGCTGTGTGTGTTTGGTGGAAGAGGTTGAGGGGAAGTGAGAGGAAGGCGTTCATCATGGCCATCATCCCCACCATGGCTGTGCACCTGGTCATGTGACCGTGCATTTGGGGGGATGGAGATGAGGGGAGATATGTTGTCGTTGTCGTTGTGGTGGTTGTGGTTGCATTGCTGTGTATGCGTGTGCATGGTGTTGTACCGTCTCACTCTGCAATGCCATGTGTGACACTGTGTGTGACTGCAGATGTGCGTGTGCGTGTGCGCATATGTCAGGCAGATGCGTTGATTGACGACGAGGTGTGTGTGTGTGTGTGATTGGGGTTGACCTCTGTGTGCTTGTGCCATCACACAACACACACAACAACAAGCACATCATCATCATCATCACCCACCCCCATGTGTTTGTTCTGTCACGCAGAATATAGAACAATGGCCGTAGCGAATAGATCTTAGGTTTTAAGTCAAATAGGAGATTAGGATAATCATACACTCACACAACTACAACAATTAAAAAAATACATCTAACCTGCTCGTTGAGAAATGCGATCTAATGCCGAGCCCCCCGCTTGCGTTCGCGTATTCTCCAAATAAAAAGATTCCACACAAGGAGACACAAACGTGCCAAA